TCTATCATCATCAGCCACAAGAGGGCAATGTCAACATTTTTGTAAACTGAACGCTGCTTCCACTGATAAACAACAAGACTAAACCAAAAATTAGAATAAATTCAACTTTCAAGATAATTCAATATACACCATTCACCTTACATCATTGGCTCGGCTGTAGATGATTTAGTTTTAATTCATGAATATATTTGTTTGTTCTTACAGAAATACAAAATTGCAAACGAAGACACCAACATGGTGTCAGAACCCAGCAGCCCACAGAGCAGCACGCGCAGCCGCTCGCCCTCCCCTGATGACATCCTGGAGCGAGTGGCCGCTGATGTCAAGGAGTACGAGCGCGAGAACGTCAACACCTTCGAAGCCAATCTCAAAGCCAAGCACAACCTCATCGCCCAGGAGAAAGACGGTAATGTTCGGCCGTGGGTGTAAATTGGTGTCCGTTGGCTCACAAGGCCAACTGAATGAACTGATTGGCTGTGTCCTCTGGTCAGGATCCATTTCATCTGATGTCCTCAAACGTCCACTACGTCACAAATTCTAAAGACCAGCTTAACCTGGTGTTTTCATTTCTACTGTTTCGACAAAAGAGTTTAGTTTTTTTCTATGAAGAAACAACCCCATGATTTGTGTGACAGCTGCAGAGTTGTGTGATGCAGTCGGCCTTAATTGTGTGTCTTCTTGTCATGTGTTCATTCAGTTGCTGGCTTGTAGTCCAAAGCCCGGGTGTCTCTGCCACCTGCAGCATGTATTGATCTCTGCACCGTATGTGAATCAAACACATGTTCTAGATATTCTGCTCTAAAATACTGCAAGTTGAAGAAAAACCCATCATGTGTTTTTTTTTTTTTTTTGCCTTTTTTGTGTGTTTTCAGGAGCCAATCCAAAGAAGCCCACGGCTCCAGACATGTTTACAGAGTCGGACGACATGTTTGCCGCTCACTTTGACGTGAGTTCTTAAGTTTTAAAGCATTGCCCTGTGGTGTTGAGTGTTTGTTGTGTTGGGTCAAGATGTGAATGTTCATCGCTGACTGTTACAGAGCGCCAGGATGAGAGAGGGGTAGGGAAGGACTTCAAGGAGAACCCAAACCTCAGGGACAACTGGACTGATGCTGAGGGCTACTACCGTAAGTGTTCTGTCAAACTCGGGCCTGTTGGTGGCGCAGCCTTCTGTCTGTTTATTGATTTAGTTTATTTTCATTTGTGGGGGGAGTGTAGGTGTGAACATCGGGGAGACGTTGGACAAGCGCTACGATGTGTATGGCTACACTGGTCAGGGAGTGTTCAGCAACGTGATCAGGGCCAGGGACACTGCCAGAGGTGGCCAGGAGGTGGCAGTAAAGATCATCAGAAACAACGAGCTCATGTGAGTGAACGTGATTTTTATTATTTTTTTTTGCACTGCAGGTAAATTTGTAAAATCATCACAAGTTCTAAATTTTTTAATATTTAAATTTGTTACTTTTTATTTTACAGGCAGAAAACAGGTTTGAAAGAGCTGGAGTTCCTCAAGAAGCTGAACGACGCCGATCCTGATGACAAGTTTCACTGCCTTCGTCTGTTCAGGCATTTCTACCACAAGCAACATCTTTGTCTGGTGTTTGAGCCTCTCAGGTACAAAGAGTAGAAAACAAAAAGATCAGTCCATGTCATTTTTTTTTCATTCTCTTTGGTGTAATTTACCTCCTTAAATGACCTCACGACATGTGTTCTGCAGCATGAACTTACGAGAGGTGCTGAAGAAGTACGGTAAAGACGTCGGGCTCCACATCAAGGCTGTTCGCTCCTACAGCCAGCAGCTCTTCTTGGCCCTGAAGCTGCTGAAACGCTGCAACATCCTCCACGCTGACATCAAGCCAGACAACATCCTGGTACAGAAATGTTCTTTGAACACACGAGT